TTTCCTATATAGTTTTGGACGGTTCAAAAATCTTCTACCATTAACACGATTAATTGTCAATCATGATCATCGCTTCAGATGGTATTGGATCGTAACAAAGCGCGACAGATCGCATCTAATCGTGCTTCTAAATCGTGGTGAACGGGATCAGCCTTGGACAAGACTGGGGCCACTTGGCTTTGTGCGGCTTTTTTCGGGCATCGATTATTATATGTTGCATCAATTGTTCAGAAATCGTAATTGACTAATGGATTAAATTAAAACATTTAAAATCAGTGCAATATAAACAGTGTTTTTCTGGCATCATAATGTTTTTTTTTCCGGAAAGTTCAATTTCTAGTGTCCGATGAATGCCGCTTTAATAGTATGGTTGATTGGTTGCAAAAAGTGAGATTTCACAGAAATCCCACATAAATAAGGCAATATTGGACCACTTGTACTTGTATTTGTTGTACTCTCGGCCTTGTTGTCGGGCATCATCATTATTTGTTTCCTCAATATGTCGGGAAGTTAAATTTCTGGTATCCGATGAATGCAGCTAAAATGTTCGGGAATCGTAAATGACTAATGGATTAAATTTTAAAACATTTAAAATCAGTGTAGTAAACAGTTTTTTCTGGCATAATATTATTTTTTTCGGAACTTTAAATTTCTGGTGTCCGATAAATTCTGCTAAATGGTCTGATTGATTGGGATTCGGTCAGCAACATAAGTAAAGTTATATATTGGACTACTAAGAAGTTGTTGTACAAATCATGGACTGTAATAGCTGGAAAGCGCGTTTGCGACCGTTTAATTTTCATAATTTTCTCGGGGAGGCCCACCATAATTCCGGACGAACCAATTTGCGCCTTAGACGCTCACTGTCAACCGGCACCCTCATCCAAAATCCGGGTGGGTATAAGGTAAGGTGAGGTTTCGGTTGCAAGATAACATACATAAGGTTGTTATTGGACCAGTGCCAAGTTGTTTTGTGTTCATCCATAATATTAAGGAAGCTGAATTTCCAAGCAATACACGTTTCTGGGCGATCGTTAAAGTTCGACAAGCGAGAAAACAGTAAATCTTTCCGTAAAAGAAAACGTGTTATATCCGACGTGGGGTTGTGAACTACCGGAGTTAGTGGCTGATGCTGATCAGATGGGTAGAACTCTTGGCTATCTTCGGCATGTAAGTATAATGTACAGTATTATTTTTGATGGTCTCTGAAGTGTGGGATGCAGCTTGTTGAGTCACAATTTTTTCTGTTCGTGTAACAGGATCTTCTACAACTTTTGGAAGACTATCATCAAAATCAGATATTCGGCTATTCTCATACTCACACACTGTTAAAAATGGGTGTAATTAAAAACTAAAAGAACTACACCTAACAAGTGTAACCGATATTCGTGACTACTGAACAGCTGAATAAGTGTAAGTGTGGGGTGTTTTGTATAAGCTACACCACTACCAGTGTTACACTGCATTTACACCAAAATTGGGGAATAAATCACAGAAAAGCGTTAATTTTACTGCGTTTATTGGTTTGTAAAAGTGTAATCGATATTCAGGAGTACCGAACACCAGGATAAGGTAATTGTAGACGCTAAAGGATGTTTGGGATGAGCTACCCCTCTACAAGCGTGTTATTGCATTTACACCAACAGGTGTAATTATTTTAGGGAAACATTCCTCCGAATAAGGTGTCAATTTTACACCGTATCTTGCGTTACAAAAGTATATGTGTACTCCAATTTGATTTTTTTTTTTTTTAGTGTAAAATATGGCGTTAATTGCACTAGTAACACAACTATAACTCATTTTAGAGTGTTTACTCATAACGAGTAAAGTATAGATTATTTTAGCTTGTTAATTTAAAGTCATTGTAAAATGAAGCGAAGTAGCCGACGGTCTATACATAGAGATCGATAGCCAATTTCAAGGGGATCACGTGGGTAAGACGCTGGCTCGCTAGCCTGGAGGTCGGGTGTTCGATCCCGGCATTGGCCGAGAAAGTTCATTCAGATTTTCCGGCGTGGTTTCCCCTTGTCAGTGATGCAGGATGGAGGGCCTGACAAGGACAGCTGTCTAGTCGTTCGGGTGGGACGAAAAACCGAGGTCCTGTGTACACATTGGCGTGCACGTAAAAGATCCCCTGGCAGTTGGAATTCGATATAAGAGTAGGCGATAGTGCCGCTGCCAGGGCAAAATTTCCCTCATAGCACACTGTATGGCGTATGCCCGTCTTCATTAGCCCAGGTTAGGAGCAGAACAGTAGGACGTTAAACCCCATTTCATTTAGCCAATTTCAAGTTTTCTGAACTTAGAAGGCGTTGGCTTGAAATAAATATCCAACAAAACAAATTACACCCGCGTTGGTGTAATAATTAAAATTGAAGTGTAATTTACAAAACGCTTCATCTACATCCACAGGTGTAAACTATTTAAGTGTAACATTGCAGTCTGAGAGATTACAGTACTGGAAGTGGCAACTAGTTTCCACACTAGTTGGGTGTTATCGATTTACACCACTCAAGGCTAGGAGTTACCCCTATTTAGGTGGCAACTAGTTTTTAACTGTGTATACTCGAATTTCAGCTTCCGCTGTCGCGGCTTCTTTCTGAGATATATCAATATACATGTCAATGTCCGCTTCCATTTCAGCCTTTTTACGAGCAGTAAATTCATCTAGCATAGCTTGATTTTTCCGTAGCTCCGCCTCCTTTTCCATAAAGGCCACTTTTGCTCGAGCAACTTCAACTTTTGCACGTTTATACGAAAGCCCAGAAGGCTCATTCCAAATTCCAAATTCCAGATTCCAGATTCCAAATTCCAAATGCGAAATTCCAAATTCCAAATTCCAAATTCATGTCTTACCGATAAAATAGCAAATTGGCAGCGCCCCTCAATTAAACAGACAGACAGACAGAAATGGGGTTTAACGTCCTCAATTAAACAGACAGACAGATAGACAGAAATGAGGTTTAACGTCCACTCGACACAAACTAGGTCATTTCGGGACTAACATATGGTTTTTAATTTTATTTACATAATTCGCTTGCGCGTAGGGGTCTTTAGCAGTGGGAGGAAACCGGAGGACCCGGAGAAAACCCACGAGGTTGAGCAGGCGACCCTACTCCTTGTCACGTACAACCGAGGATTCGAAACCACGCCAGTCGACTCAATGACAGACTTTATGATAAAGCGCGCACGCTAACCATTCAGCCCCCCACCCCCCGGATAAATACCCGTTCCAAATTACTAGATTCCAAATTCCAAATTCCTAATTCCAAATTCCAGATTCCAGATTCCAAATTCCAAATGCGAAATTCCAAATTCCAGATTCCAAATTCCAAATGCGAAATTCCAAATTCCAAATTTTGCTTTTGGCTAATCAGTTAGAGTATAATAACAATATTCCAGTTCGGAATTTGGAATGAGTCTTCTGGGCTTTCGTACGTTTACGAGCCAAAGTAGTCTACTTGAGGCACAAGATGTCCTTTGGTTTTACTTGATTTTCTTGATGAAGTCCGACTAGATTTAAAAGAGCGCTGGACTCCTTTGAAGATGTCTTTGAAGACAGTAATTGCTTACGCAAGTTACATTTATCGTAGTAAAGGCAGTATCTGTTGTCACTTTGCGCAATCTAATTAAAATATAGATCTATATTTCGTTTCGTTTTTTTATACTTTCGATGGCCTACACTACATGTAGATCTAACAAGTTATAGTGGGAGTTCACGTTCTATGACGTCAGATACCAAGCAAGCCCATAGACTATAGATATGAGCAAGCCACATTTGACCCGATTAACCAATTAGCGACCGCCGTGTATTTTTTATCTACTTTTGCTTTGTTTTGATTTCTATTGCTGCTAATGTCTACCAACAGTTCCGCGCAAAAAAGGTCAAACGCTTAATTCGACAGACCATTTGATTGGCTGACCCCTCATTTCAAGCAGAACACGAGTTAAATAACAACGCTTCCAGATCCAAGTGCAATCTGTTTCACAGAGAATTACGAGTCTAGTGATATATCTCTGTCAAAGATGACTGTCTTAACACGTGCTGTCACAGCACGCGGCGTCAATCATTGGCTGAATGGCGCGTGCATTGTTTACATAAGACGTTACTGCTTCGGAGAAAATGCTGCATTTTAGTCATTTTAATACCCATTTACACTAAATAGGAAATAATTTTTACCTAAAAATACGTCAAACGCCTTTATTTATTTTTCCAATACATAAAAAAAATGTTTTAGAATTTAATTTGTCGCAGGAAAAAAGTTAATATTTCTGGCTCATTAAGCCGCATCGATGTCATCCTTATCAGTGATTGTAGCGGCCTAGCAAATATTCACTGCGGATCAGTGTGATCCAAGTGTAGTAAACATAGAAAGACAAGTAAAATCGAAATTTTGAACTATAAAAACGAAACGAAATTGGGTCTGTGTTTTAATCAGATTGCACTTTGCGAAGTTCTATTCGAGTGCCTGATAGGAATCCATTTCTCTTTAACTTTCGATCATCGATGGAACTGCAGTCACCTGTTCCTACTGTGTACTGAGTGGGCGCTTCTTTGAGTTTGCTAACAAGGACATCTGTCTAGTCGTTTGGATGGTTCGAAAAACCTAGGTCCCGTGTACACATTGGCGTGCACGTAAAAGATCCCTTGGCAGTTGGAATTCGATATAAGAGTAGGCGGTAGTGCCGCTGCCCGGGCAAAATTTCCCTCATAGCACACTGTATGGCGTATGCCCGTCTTCCATAAGCTCGATCAGTTTAGGAGCAGAACAGTTGGACGTTAAACCCCATTTCATTTCTTTGATCTTGAATTGACGTCACTCACGGCAAAAATATTTCCATTTGTAATATTCAGAATGTCTTTTAAAATTTCGCGGGGTCGGAAATATGCTAATTTTAAACTTATTTTTTATATTGAAACAATGTTTTTCGGTAGCAATCTCCTTTAACATTCTTAGACCCGATTACTATTTAACTCTGTGGGCAATGACAAAATATGACGTAAAAAATACTTTGACCAATCAGAAATTCAAAGCCACGTGACTGCTGTACCATCTCTCGACGAAGCACGCCATTTTCAAGGGTAAGGAGGTTATTTTGTTGTAGATCTAGATGTTTTTGATTATTTCAGTTAAATCTGTATGTATGTTACTTACTATATTTAAGAAAGACATAGCATTTTTAATCGGATTAATTTTATTACAGAACAATGTATTCGTCAATTTTTCAATCGGCGAAAAACGGCTACTTTGTTAACCCGTTTCATGCAAAATGTGAAGCCGGTAACAACGATAGTGAAGGATTAAGTGTAAACCCAGCCAGAACTATTCAAGCTGCAAGCACAGGTAGGTAATATGAGTGCACTGCCCATTAATGCATTATGTTTTTTTGAGGGGGGGGGGGGTACATGTTGAAATAATTTGTAACTTTGAACAGATCATGGGTGACAGAGCAGAGAAGTATGATTTATAATTTATTGTCATTGAGTGACATTTGGCTGGTCATTGAACCATTGGATTTTCAATCCCAGTCATTTCAACGAATTAAACCTGCCGTTCAAGTTAAAAGTAAAGGCCTCTCTAATAAATAATAATTTAGTACATGGATATAAACATTTAATCTGTTGACCAGTCATTAGCCTTTCCACCCAAATTAACAAAACTTTTTAAAAAAATCTAAAAATGTGTTAATAGGATCCAGAGGTGTATATATTATTGTGAAAAACAATTTAAAATTGCATCCGGTTGCTGTGTTGTTTATTTTTCATAATCAAAAAAAATAATAAATTTTGGAGCTTATGTATTAAAGGGAGATAATGTTAGCAAAAATGTCTGGTTCAAAACATAAAAGGGAAACAACTCTTGTTTTATTTTTCACAGATTTCAAGCTATAGTATGTTTCAAAATAAGTAGCTGCAACAAGATTGTGACAGATTGTATTTGGATTATGTTAAAATAAAGTTTCAGTGCTAACTTTATCCAACAAAATCATTTAATTATTAAGCAGTAATAATTTTAAATGTGCACATACATGCATTATGGTATAGACATGGCCATATTTGTAGCACATACATATATTGAAATGAACCATAATCTAAGAAGGACAACTCTTTTAACAAAAATTAATATATTTCAGAAAAATTACTACTGCATCAAAAGGAGAGCACTAAAAATGATAATAATTTCTCCAAAAATAGATTAGATACTGATAATCATGTTCATCATGGATATTTAATGAAAACAGTATAATTGATATTAGAAAATAAATATTTTAGACACCACCCCTTTGCCAGTAGAACATTAATTATTTTTTTTATAGATCTATAAGTCAATGACAATTTAAATAAATGGTTAAATATAAGATGTTGTAACATATACTTTTCACAGGAATTTTTATCTTCGAAGTATTGGTTGGATTTATCATAAAAATCATCTAAAACAACTTGTGACAGACTCTTCTCTATCATAACATTGAGCAGACGGACTCAGACTAGCAATTATTTGCCCATTGACTTCAATGTTAAATGACTGTAACATCACAGGCTGTAGCTTTTTGCTCAACATTCCATTGGTTCCAATCTTTATAGGCACAATGGGGACAACATTTGGCAATCTCCTCATCATAACTTTGGAAGGGGTTGACCATTTAGATTTTTTGCTATACGGATTTGAAGTTGACAGGGGTGAAAATCTCACTTCCGACACAATGATTGCTCTGCAGAAAGACACTTTACACCCCCTATCCCTCCGCTGTAATATCATCAGTATTACCCAAAACTGCTATGAAATTGCAAATTTGATCCCTTTTCTCCAATTCTAGACCAAAAAGTCAACCCAAAAATGCAGGAAGAGGGGAGAAAAAAATTAAGGGAAAAATTGTCTATTTATAACTCGCACTACATTCGTCCATCATGAAATAAGGGGAAATAATTACTAGTCTTAGTCCTATATACCTCACATGTTTCTGCAGTTTAAACAAATCTGTTATCTAATAAACAAACATATATGCAATTCCCTGGTCAAAGAATATGAAAATCTATGCATTTTCAGATGAGCTGTGCGGCATTCTGCAAACACTATAATACATCAGAAAACTGCGGAATTTCAGACAGAAATTTAAAAGCACATGAATTTTGAATTAAACAGAACATTTTTATTTTTAAACATAAATGCATTCTGTAAAAAGATGAGATAAATTCAATATAAATCAAACACGAAAATACTTTAAACCAGTAATCATGATGCAATATTAGACTTTTTAACACTTTCATCGAAAACCACACAGTTTTTCTCTGTTAACGTAGTTTCAAGTGCCAAATTGTGGTCAAATCTAAAATGTTGAAACATGCAGTGCCTATCAATTTTAAAATATCTCCTATATAGCTGTATTTCCATAGGATAAGTAAGTTGAAATAATCTGATTATGTAACACTACAACAGCTTTTTCATCCCCACCCCCCAGTTTGGAATCTGATAATTTAAAAGCACATGAATTTTGAATTCCACAGAACATTTTTATTTTTGAACATAAATGCATTCTTCAAAAAGATGAGATGAATTCAATATAAATCAAACACGAAAATACTTTAAAACAGTAATCATGATGCAATATTAGACTTTTAACACTTTCATCGAAAACCACACAGTTTTTCTCTGTTAACATAGTTTCAAGTGCCAAATTGTGGTCAAATCTAAAATGTTGAAACATGCAGTGCCTATGAATTTCAAAATATCTCCTATATAGCTGTATTTCCACAGGATAAGTAAGTTGAAATAATCTGATTATGTTACACTACAACAGTTTTTTCATCCCCACCCCCCATTATGGAATCCGATACATTGCTGACCAATCATAGGTCGCCCTGTTCACTCGGGCCTGTCAAATGATTTACAATGGCGATGGTGCCTACAACTTTCCTGACTAAGAGATATGCACAACCGTCGATCAACACACAAGCCATTAATGTTATCTTCCAATATGAGAGGCCATGATAAACACACGGGCGTCCTTTTCAAGCTCGGAAATTAAGTCATCACCAAAAAGCAAAGTTTACAGAGGTCCTCGGGGCTGGAACCCAAACTGATTACGATTTGCCCTCCACTTCCACCACAGGTGTCATAGAGATCAGGGATGAAATTGATATGCATCATCGTTCTCCTCAAGCCAGTCCAGGAAGACATCAGGTTTTGAGATGTAGACCTGAAATGTTAAATTTGGATGAGAATGAGAATTCTGGGGCGAATACTATCCAGGGAAACGGTCATTGACATCCAATGGTCAAAATGTGGAATTCTGTCATTCAGTTAAATGTCAAGGGGAGAAGACAGGCCTGTGCAGTACCAAATTTCCAGCCCATTACTATTAGTGAGCAGAAGTGGGGATCAGGTTGGATGTACTTCTTAAAGTGTATGAAATGCACATTTATCTCACCTGTTTTGCTTCTTTGTTTTTAATACTTGTGTTGAGGTCAATCATTCCACTCTATGAAACATTACCCTGGCACCTGAAATGATAGGAGGCTGGGGATAAATATGCAATAAAAAAAACAGTGAAAAAATAAAAAAATATGGTTTCAACTGGAAATAGAAATAAACCTCTTTATTTCTAGCGAACAGCCTGTCACTGGCCCTCCAAAAAGAAACCAGTTAACAGGCAGTAAAAAAGTAAACCTTGAGTGTCACATAAGTCTAAGCCAATCTCAAAGGTAGATGCCATGTTTTGAGGTTCGGTCTAAATATTAAGGCCGACTGCATGTTTGGTCAAAAGTCACACAGGTGTGAATTTTGGAGTGTACATGTTAACATTTCATTGTATGATGTCAAAAACATGTTAGGTCTAAATGTTAAGGCCAACTGCAGACTTGGTTCAAGGTCGCAACATGTAAATAGGGTTAGGGCACATGATTTTTTGACACAATTGTGGGTTTGGGCTAGGGTCAGGACTAGGTCTTGGCTTAGGCCTAGGGTACATGCTTTTTGACAAGATTGTGGGTTAGGGTTAGGGTAAGGACTGGGTCTGGGGTTAGGGTTAGGGTCAGTCTTGTTTACATCTAGTGACTTTAGACCAAATCTGCAGTTGAGTTGGCCTTAATATTTAGACCTAACCATGTTTTGATATCATTGTGAACAAAATGTTACACATTTAAAACCCAAAATTCACACTCAACCAATGGATACCCCCAATCATGGCTATTTTGATACCAAATAGTCAAAAAACTTACTGCTGGGCAATAAAAAAGCAGTATTCTTACCATTTCTGACACTTTCCATTCAAAACTTCAGGAAATAAGCCGTTGAAAAAATATCAACATCCCGAGTCGGCCATGCTTCTTTATATCATCAGGACTCAGACTAGCAATTATTTGCCCATTGACTTCAATGTTAAATGACTGTAACATCACAGGCTGTAGCTTTTTGCTCAACATTCCGTTGGTTCCAATCTTTATAGGCACAATGGGGACAACATTTGGCAATCTCCTCATCATAATTTTGTAGGGGGTTGACCATTTAGATTTTTTGCTACACGGATTTGAAGTTGACAGGGGTGAAAATCTCACTTCCGACACAATGATTGCTCTGCAGAAAGACACTTTACACCCCCTATCCCTCCGCTGTAATATCATCAGTATTACCCAAAACTGCTATGAAATTGCAAATTTGATCCCTTTTCTCCAATTCTAGACCAAAAAGTCAACCCCAAAATGCAGGAAGAGGGGAGAAAAAAATTAAGGGAAAAATTGTCTATTTATAACTCGCACTACATTCGTCCATCATGAAATAAGGGGAAATAATTACTAGTCTTAGTCCAGACATTAAATGGACACAGATCACCAAATATTCCTACGCCGTCACCCACGAAACAAGGGCCAAAGCTATTTTTAGTCTTCCTCTCCCTTTTCCTTTTTCCCCCTTTTGCATGGCGATTTTTGTTGACTTTTTGGTGTAGAATCGAGGAAAAGGGTTTGAAAATACATTTTCTGCCAGGTTTTGGTGAATATTCATAATTTTAATGCGGAAGGATACAAGAGTTGAGAGGTTGGTTAGGTTGAAATGTAGGGCCTGAAATTGCATGTTTACTTGTCTCTACTTCCAGCTTGTGTATCTCAAGTTTTTCATGAAGAACCTCATACGTGCTTTTGGGCAAGTGGTTGCGACATGTTCCTCCATCTGTGGTAGAAAGCGTTCTACCCAACGAAAATTTGGGAAAAAGTTAGAGCCGGTCTAAGATACGAGAATTAACATTGGAGTCAATGGGAAAAACTTTAGTGATCTGTGGCCTGTCTGTGTGTGATAAGGCTGTCACTGATATGCCTTAGTTTTGAAAATATGAAGATTAAATTCTCAGAAAATATGAATAAAATAGTTTGGCTACAGAAAAACTAAAAAAAGTTAATTAAAAAAAAAAAAATAAAAGTTTTGAAGAAAAATTGTGATTTTACTGCAAATTTCTCAAGTTTCAATTTTTATTGAATTTTTAACAGTAAGTAAAATATTCTAATGCCCAATGTTGGCTTATTCAGTCTCAGAAAGCACAGATAAAGTGAACAGTATTGAAATTTCACCAAATTTTGTCAAAAAATCAGGAATATTCACAAAAAATCTTGAGATTCCCCCCATTTCGATGTAGAAATTAATATTTTCATGACTATTAAAATGAGTCAAAATGTCTAAAAATGCCCATATTTTCTTTGCTAATATAACTTAGATGGGATCTACATATTTGTCAGGTTTAGAAATAGCTCCAGTTTTCCTACAGAAAATTGAAAATTGGTAACACTGAGTTAATGTACAGCAGATGGGTTTGTACAAAATGTTCAAAACAGGGGTTGGCTCAATTTTGCCACTATTTTACCCAGAATAAGCTTTTTTTTCTTCTTTGAAACATTAAATTCTTGCATTTCTTTCAAGTAGGAAGCGACATCCCAGCCTTTCTAGACATTTTTTACTCCGTCATTCTGTTTAGAGTGGCAATAAATGCCCCACCCCACCCTTTTCCATTAATGTGTTTTGAGGGATTTAAATGCACATGTGTTGACATTTAAATGATCTTAATTGGAATTTGTGGTTGAATTACAGCTAAGAATGTTATTTTTCACCCAAAAATATTTTTTTTGTGCATTTCAAGGATTTCTAACCCTTATTTGTTCAGAGTCAAACGTAGAACCCTGAGGCATTTCAGGCCAATGAGACCACACCCAGATATAAAACTGGTGTAGATGTGTAAATGTCAGTTTAATGTTCAATATTTTCGTATCAAAATCCAGCATTTGTGGTGTTTGCTGCATTTATGTTGCCTATAGAACAATAAAATATTAATTTTTCTCCTTTTCAGGCCTCTTCTTATGTTGTCAATTCTGTCATGACTACTTTTTTGACTTCATTTTTTCAGGAAATTAATGTAAAGTTCCAGACATCTTGCTTCAGCACAAGGATTGCAATACAAATTTGTAACATGCCTCTGAGGGGTGATCATAGACCAAATATGGCATTTTTTTCATTCATCAAGGCCTATTTTTAACCATAATTCATATTTATTGCACCTATTTTAGTTTATATGTGCATATGTTAGCCAGGGATGGTAAATCATAGCTGTTAGACAGATTCCTTTGGTAATGTTAGTTCTGCAACCATAGATTAGATTAATCCAATCAGTGGCATGTTCAGGGGGTAGGCATACATGTTTCAGTATAGATCTCCAATATTACAATCATTGCAACTGGTTTGCATTTTTTCTGTTTGCATATTGTCCACAGATTCTAAAAATATATTTCTTGTCCGTCCGGATATTTAAAAAAGTGGAAAATTATTGGTATTTTGAGAGATGCTACATGTAAATTTTGTACATTTTTCATCACATGGCAGTAAAAAATTATATTTTTGAAAAAAATTCCAAATTATGAGTGTTTTCTATACTAGTTTCTTTGTAACTTGTCTAATTTTTTCACAGAACTCAGATACTGCCTTTAAATAAGAAAGATTTTTAAATTTTAGCACAAAAGGCCTATGGACCTGAGATGCACCAGTGTACATAAAGCAGCATGTGTACTTAAAGGGCCATCATTTTTACAGTTATTCTTTGATTTTGATTTTCTTTCAACTGCATGTTGCCAGAACACATGGGAAGGAAATAAAAAGGGCCTTTTGGTGATACCTGAAGTTTCACCCCTATATAGGACACAGATCACCAAATATTCCTACGCCATCACCCACGAAACAAGTTCCTTTTTCCCCCTTTTGCATGGCGATTTTTGTTGACTTTTTGGTGTAGAATCGAGGAAAAGGGTTTGAAAATACATTTTCTGCCAGGTTTTGGTGAATATTCATAATTTTGATGCGGAAGGATACAAGAGTTGAGAGGTTGGTTAGGTTGAAATGTAGGGCCTGAAATTGCATGTTTACTTGTCTCTACTTCCAGCTTGTGTATCTCAAGTTTTTCATGAAGAACCTCATACGTGCTTTTGGGCAAGTGGTTGCAACATGTTGCTCCATCTGTGGTAGAAAGCGTTCTACCCAACGAAAATTTGGGAAAAAGTTAGAGCCGGTCTAAGATACGAGAATTAACATTGGAGTCAATGGGGAAATCTTTAGTGATCTGTGGCCAAATTATTTCAACTTCCGGTTTAAAGAGTTACCCCCCTTTAGAGCAGATAACATGTTTAGTAGAAAGACTCCAGTCATAGTTACCCAGGTTACTGTCACTGGACTGGTACTGTTTATTGCGTATCTTATCATTTGTCCTTCATTTTCTTTTTATCCTAAGCCTTAGGGTAGGGCTATGAATGCAAAATTGATTTATTAATGGATTTATTTACAAATAAGCCTATGATAAAGCTACATTTAAATAGCATAAAACTTTTTACAGATTGAAGATATCTCCATTAGAAGCCAAGATATGAACATTTATGTTCGATGAATCGGGGTACTTTTTGTCTAAAATTTTATGTAGAGAAAGTCTCTAGCAGTTTGAAATAGACTGATTAAAGGTCACAGGGGTCAATGGCACAAAATTCAGGAATTAACAATGGATCAGAAGCACATAATAATGCATAATACCTGGACAAAATATCTGATCTTGCTGAAAATTGGCACAACGCACAGTCGTTGTTTTTTGTATTTTAGACGAGAGCCGAAAAAAGCTCCCCTTAATGAACAAATTGAAAAAATTGCTCCCCTAAAAAAGCTCTCCCAGTATCGATAAGAAGAGTGATTTAGAAATTAAGGTGAATGATCTGAGGAGAGTGATTAGTTGTTTGTATGGGAAATGGTTCTGAAGATCAATAACTGCGTGTAAGGGGCCATTCATGGTTACATATAAATGATAATAAATATCGTCTGCTAAATAATAGCACTCGTAGTCGTACATTCAAGTCAAACTTCTACTGTCGTCTAATACTACAGTACTTACGGTATTCCAATAGAAATACTTGTAGACATTTCTAAATATATATATAGCTTGTATAAATTTTGTTTAAAAACATAACCCCTATTCAAAATATAATCATAA